TCAGTTCAAAATCGCCCAAAATTCAGTTCAAAATCGCCCAAAATTCAAGTTAAAATTGCCCAAAATTCGACTTAAATTCACCCATTTTTTGCCCCAAGTTTGACCTAAAATTGCCCAAAATTCAGGTTAAAATCGCCCAAAATTCAGACTAAAATCGCCAAAAAACAGGCTCAAAATCGCCCATTTTTGCCCCAAATTCAGCTCAAAATAGCCCAAAATTTGACTCAAAATCGTCCATTTTTTACCCCAATTTCATCCCAAATTTGACTCAAAATCGCACAAAATTTGGACCAAAATCGCCCAAAATTCAGCTCAAAATCACCCAAAATTCAGGTTAAAGTCGCCCAAAATTTGGGTCAAATCGCCCCAAATTTCGGCTCAAAATCGCCCATTTTTTGCCCCAATTTTCCCAAAATTCAGCTAAAAATCGCCCATTTTTAGCCCCAAATTTGACCCAAAATCACCCCAAATTCGGCTCAAAATCACCCAAAATTCAGCTCAAAATCGCCCCAAAATTGCCCCAAAACCGCCCATTTTTGACCCCAAATTCAGCTCAAAATCGCCCATTTTTGCCCCAATTTCTTCCCAAATTTGGCTCAAAATCGTCCATTTTTTGCCCCAAATTCACCGAAAATTCAGTTCAAAATCGCCCAAAATTTGGCCTAAAATTGCCCAAAATTCGGGTTAAAATCGCCCAAAATTTGGGTAAAATTCGCTCAAAATTCGACTCAAAATCACCCATTTTTTGCCCCAGTTTTACCCAAAACTTGACTCAAAATCGCCCAAATTTTGGTCTAAAATTGCCCATTTTTGCTCCAAAATCGTCCCAAATTAGACTCAAAGTCACCCCAAATTTGGCTAAAAATCGCCCATTTTTGCCCCAATTTCGACCCAAATTCATCTAAAAATTGACCCAAATTTGGCTCAAAATCGCCCAAAATTTGGCTCCAAATCCGCCACTTTTGGTCCCAATTTCACCCAAAATTGCCCAGAATTTGACTCAAAATCACCCATTTTTTGCCCCAATTTCAAACCAAATTTGACTCAAAATTGCCCCAAATTTGGACCAAAATCGCCAAAAAGTAGGCTCCAAATCAGCCATTTTTTGCCCCAATTTTGCCCAAAATTCTGCTCAAAATCACCCCAAATTCAGCTCAAAATTGCCCCAAATTTGGCTCAAAACCACTCATTTTTTGCCCCAATTTTGCCCCAAATTCGGCTAAAAAACGCCCAATTTTGCCTCAACTTCAGGTTAAAATCGCCCAAAATTCAGGTTAAAATCATCCATTTTTTGCCCCAAATTTGGCCTAAAATCACCCAAAATTCAGGTTAAAACAGCCCAAAATTCAGGTTAAAATTGCTCAAAATTTGACTCAAAATCGTCCATTTTTTGCCCCAATTTTGTCCAAAATTTGAGTCAAAATGGCCCAAAATTCAGTTCAAAATGGCCCAAAATTCAGGTTAAAATGACCCAAAATTCAGTTCAAAATCGCCCAAAATTTGGCCTAAAATCGTCCATTTTTTGCCCCAATTTTGCCCAAAATTTGGCCTAAAATTGCCCAAAATTCAGGTTAAAATCGTCAAATTTTTGCCCCAAATCGCTCCAAATTCGGCCTAAAATTACCCAAAATTCAACTCAAATCACCCAAAATTCGGCCTAAAATCACCCATTTCTTGCCCCAGTTTCACCCAAACTTTGGCCTAAAATTGCTCATTTTTTGTCCCAAATTCGAATCAAAATTGCCCAAAATTTGATTCAAAATCGCCCCAATTTGCCCCAATTTTGCCCCAGATTTGTCTCAAAATTGCCCAAAATTCATCTCAGAATCGCCAAAAATTTGACTCAAAATTGCCCAAAATGCAGCTTGAAATCGCCCATTTTTGGCCCCAATTTCATCCAAAATTTGGCTCAAAATCACCCAAAATTCGGCTGAAAATCACCCCAAATTTGGCTTAAAATCGTCCATTTTTTGCCCCAATTTTGCCTCAAATTCAGGTTAAAATCGCCCAAAATTCGGCTCAAAATCGCCCCAAATTTGGCTCAAAATCACCCCAAAATCGCCCATTTTTAGCCCCCAGTTTGGCCTAAAATCTCCCAAAATTCGGGTTAAAATCACCCCAAATTTGGCTAAAATCATCAATTTTTTGCCCCAAGTTTGGCCTAAAATCACCCAAAATTCAGGTTGAAATCGCCCAAAATTTGGCCTAAAATAGCCCATTTTTGCCCCAAATTCCCCCCAAAATGTGGCTCGAAACCACCCAAAATCTGACTGAAAATCACTCAAAATTTGGCTCAAAATCGCCCCAAATTCAGATTAAAACTGCTCCGAATTTTGCTCAAAATCGCCCATTTTTGCCCCAATTTCACCCAAAATTTGGTCTAAATTTTTTTTTCCCAGAATTCCCATATTTTCTGCTCAGAATTCCCGTTTTTTCCCAATTTTTCCCCGGTTTCCTGCGGCTGTGGATCTCTGTTCTGGTGATCTACCCGACGAACCAGGGCATCATCACCCCAAAATTCGCCTCAAAATCACCCAAAATTTGGCTCCAAATCGCCCCAAATTTGACCTAAAATCACCCATTTTTGGTCGCAAATTCAGCTCAAAATCCCTCAAAATCGACTTGAAATTGGGGTAAAAATGGGCGATTTTAGGTCAAATTTGGGGCAATTTTGAGACGAATTTCAGTCGAAACTGGGGCCAAAAATGGGTGATTTTGAGCCAAATTTGGGCAATTTTGAGCTGATTTGGGGGCTAAAAATGGGTGATTTTGAGCCACATTTGGAGCTAAAAGCGGGTGATTTTAAGCCAAATTTGGAGGTAAAAATGGATGATTTTAAGCCAAATTTGGGGCTAAAAATGGGTGATTTTGAGCCAAATTTGGGGTGAAATTGGGGCAAAAATGGAGCGATTTTGAGCCAATTTTTTGACGTTTTTAGGTCACATTTTGGGCAAAATGAGGGCGAAAAATGGGCGTTTTTTAGCCAAAAACCGACTCAAAATGGCCTGGTTTTGGCCCCAAAATTAGGATAAAAACCCCCAGACCCTCCTCTACCAGGATTTTTGCCAAAATTCCCATTTTTCCCCATTTTTCCCAATTTTTCCCCAGTTTCCTGCGGCTGTGGATCTCGGTGCTGGTGATCTACCCGACGAACCGTCATCGCCCTCACCCCAAATTCAGCTCAAAATCACCCAAAATTTAACTCAAAATCACCCAAAATTCGGCTCAAAATCGCCCCAAATTGGACTCAGAATCCCCCCAAATTCAGCCCAAAATTGTCTAAAATTCGGCTCGAAATTGTCCCAAATTCAACTCAAATGGCCCCAATTTTGACCCAAATTTGTCTCAAAATTGCCCGTTTTTGGTCCCTAATTCGGCTCAAAATCGCCCTAAATTTGGCTCGAAATTGCCCATTTTTTGCCCCAATTTCGACCCAAATTCAGCTCAAAATTGCCCCCAAATCACCCATTTTTTGCTGCGATTTTGCCTCAAATGTGGCTCAAAACCTCCCCAAATTTGGCTCAAAATCACCCGTTTTTGCCCCAATTTCACTCCAAGTTTGGCTCAAATTCAGCTCAAAATTCAGGTTAAAATTGCCTCAAATTCAGCTTAAAAATGCCCATTTTTGACCCTAAATTCACCTCAAAATCACCCATTTTTGCCCCGATTTCGCCCAAAATTTGACTGAAAATCACCCAAAATATTTCCCTCCAAATTCAGCTCAAATTTTCCCGATTTTTCCCCATTTTTCCCCATTTTTCCCCAGTTTCCTGCGGCTGTGGATCTCGGTGCTGGTGATCTACCCGACGAACCAGGGCATCATCACCCCAAAATTCGGCTCAAAATCACCCAAAATTTGGCTCCAAATCGCCCCAAATTCAGGTCAAAATCTCCCCAAATTTGGCCCAGAATTGCCCAAAATTTGACTCAAAATCGCCCCAAATTTGACTCAAAATCACCCCAAATTTGGCTCAAAATTGCCCCATTTGGCACCAATCTCCACCCAAATTTAGCTCAAAATCACCCATTTTTTGCCCTGATTTTGCCCAAATTTGGCTCAAAATCACCCGAAATTTGGCCTAAAATTGCCCATTTTTTGCCCCAAAATTTGACTCAAAATCCCCCATTTTTAGCCCCAAATGTGGCTCAAAATCTCCCAATTTGGCCCCAATTTCACCCAAAATTGCCCAAAATGGGGTCTAAAATCACCCCAAACTTGCCTCAAAATCGCCCCAAAATTTGACCTAAAATCGCTCATTTTTTGACCTCAATTTTGACCCAAAATCGCCCCAAATTTGACTGAAAATCACCCCAAATTCAGCTGAAAAATGTCCATTTTTAGCCCTAAATTGGGCTCAAAATCACCTATTTTTCACCCCAAAATTGCCCAAAATTAGGATAAAAAACCCCAGACCCCCCTCCACCGGGATCTTCCCAAAAATTCCCGATTTTTCCCGATTTTTCCCAATTTTTCCCCAGTTTCCTGCGGCTGTGGATCTCGGTGTTGGTGATCTACCCGACGAACCAGGCCGTCATCGCCCTCACCTTCGCCAACTACGTCCTGCAGCCCCTGTTCCCCGACTGCCACACCCCAGAGCCCGCACAGAGGGTCCTGGCGGCCGCCTGCCTCCGTGAGTTATCCCGGAATTCCCAAAATTCCCAAAATTCCCAAAAAATCCTGGCCAAAAAGGGCCAAAAATGGCGAAAATCCGCTTTAAAATGACCCAAAACTGACCCAAAACTCACCCAAAACTCACCCAAAACTGACCCCAAACTCACCT